TGCCTCGACCGGTTGGGGTGAGAGAGAGAGAGAGAGAAAGAGAGAGAGAAGAGAGTGAAAGAGAGAGAGAGAGAGAAAGAGAGAGAGAGAGAGAGAGAGAGGATGTAAGGAGAGAGAGAGGGGAGGGAGGCAGCCTACACAATATACACACAGAGGTACAGACAGCGAAGGTAATGTTGCTATAAACTAAATGAAAAATGGTACAGATATTTATAATAGTGTTAATGGTAACCATCGTAATGTTAATGATTATAATAACAATAAGACCAGCGACAACAGTCGCTGCAGTAGAGGGTGTCGAGCAGGAACACGGGGGCAGCAGGCGACCCGCAGCCACAGATCCAGACTCCACAGCTCCAGAGCCAGAAAACCTGCAGGAAGTGATAGGAGGAGAGAGGAGAGGGACGAGAAAGCACAAGACTACCAGAAAGGGGAGAAGTTGTGTTAGTAACATGCAATAATGGGATAAGGTTGCATACAGAGGGAGAGAAAGTAGAGGAGAGAGGAGCTCAGTGCATCATGGGAAATCCCCCGGCAGTCTAGGCCTATAGCAGCATAACTAAGGGATGGTTCAGGACTACCTGAGCCAGCCCTAACTATAAGCTTTATCAAAGAGGAAAGTCTTAAGCCTACTCTTAAATGTGGAGATGGTGTCTGCCTCCTGAACCCAAACTGGAACCTGGTTCCACAGGAGAGGAGCTTGATAGCTGAACGCTCTGGCTCCTAGTCTACTTTTGGAGACTCTAGGAACCACAAGTAACCCTGCATTCTGGGAGCGCAGTGCTCTGGTGGGGTAGTAAGGTACTATGAGCTCTTTAAGATAAGATGGTGCCTGACCATTAAGAGCTTTGTAGGTAAGAAGAATGATGGTTAAGGGTAGGAAAAGATCATGGTTTGGGTTCAAATAACTACGTACATCAGTTAACACGTAAGTTAACTAACTATCACTTGAAACTTACGCAATTGACAGAACTTAAATTAAAAATATTTATGGTGACTTTTTGTTTCACACAGGACACAAACACCGGTCTACTGGGTCAAAGACGGGGTTCTGGCCCTTTATCCACCCCAACCACCTCCTTATGCAGTCCTTTGTCGTCAAAAACTGACGCTACAGGGCTTGCCCCTGTGTTGAACTATGACACTATAGGGATCCCCATGCGTCTATATGTAGGATGAGAGTGGGAGTGAGAACGGGTTGGTTCTTGTAGAGTTTTCGGATTTCAGTGGTGATGCACAGAGAACGACCTATGGCTCAACGTCAGCAAACCTAAGGAGCTGATCGTTTAGGAAGAAGGACATAAAGTTACACACTCCTGTCTACATCAGCGGTGCTGAGGTGGAGCAGGTGAACAGTTTCAGGTTCCTGGGAATCAGCATCACAGAGAACCTGACACAGTCATCTCACATCTCATATGCTGGTGAAGAAAGCGCAGAAACGACTGTATTTCTTTCAAATTCCCACGCCAAGTTCTTGGCAGCTTTTACAGGGGAGCAATAGAAAGCATCCTGACTGGAAACATCACTAACACGGGATGTGCACGGATGAGCAGCTTTTTCCCCCAAGCTATCAGACTCTAAAACTCTAAATTTATCTCATTTTTGACGGCCTAAAAGTTATAGAAAACTTTGAACACACGTCAAGGGGTCAACAACCAACAGGATTGGATTTAATTGGTACATTTGCCGATTTACACACTTTAATGAACCCCTCCTCGAGAATTAGTCTGTGTGACAAATTTTTGCTGTACAGTCTTATCCCATCAATGATACACGTGCTACAAATGGTGAGTTTTGGTCGACCGGGGGTGCCTCTGGTATGGAGTGGAATATCAATTATTCACTACAAAACAGGAAGTTGTTAAGTGTACATGTTCACATCTGTACCAAACTTTATGTGATTGGTCCCGCCCCCAACACATCTACATGCCAAAATTCAGTTATAGTCGTAGCGCCACCTACTGGCAACAGGCAGTAAGCCCGGTGTGACACTCATTATGCGATTAACAATTAGTTTCACACATGATGTACTGGGACATAATGTATCATTACTGGGTGCTCCTTTGCACCACATAGAAGACACAGGAAGTGACATTTAAGTATTTCGTGCAGTGTCCAAATTCAGAGCAACACTATCTGATGCGTTTCACATGCGAGGGCCCGTCCAACACTGATTGCTGATTTAATATTTAACTGAATTAGTCTGTTGCATTTGATTCTTTAACCTGTAGGTGGCGCTAAAGGATTTGAAATTGCTGATGGAGCAGTACTTTGCAGCAGCATTGGTAGCAGTCACAGCTAACAGCTGACAGCTCTCTGTTTTTTACTTTAGTGAATTCTAGTTGTGCTTCACATCTTCTGGTATTATTCCTAGTAAGAAACAAGATGGTTCTAATGGTAGTTCTATATGTTAACATTTTTAATTTCATTTAGTATGTTTTGCCAATATTCTGCTAATTTTGGGCAGTCGCAAAATATGTGTGTGATCACATCCCTGCCATCGCTGATTCAATATGTTTCCAGATTTTGATGCAATGAAAACAAATGGTGTGAAATGTTTTTTCCCTGATTCAAATGCCCTCCAAGTAGGGCTATAGTGTTGTTTTATGTCCCTCTCTACATAATAGTCTCCACTTTTTGTCTGAAACGATGGAATTCATCTCTAGTTTTTCTTTGATGTCCAGACTGTTATCCATCAGTTCTTCTTGTAGGATTATGTTATTATGCTATTTGTGGTATAATATTTTTAACAGCACCTTTAATTATTAAAATTAGGAAGTATTCTATTGGATGGAGAGGTACAGTTTGCCCCATTCTTTGTTTCTGGTTTTATATGTATTTTTCATATCTCTTAATAGAAATTACACACTAATTTAAACATGCAGTAGTGAACCTCTGTGATAATGCATCTTTGGGGGAAAAAGTATTGAAATTGTAAGAAAACTTAATTTGGCTAATTGGAAATCAGTCCAGCTTGGATTCAACAAGTGGTCATCATGACTCACCACACTTTCCTTCACAAGTGACAACACCGGCCTTCTTCTTGTAGGCAAGAACCAAAGATTTATTACCACCGGTTAACCACACAAACTGCAATAGAATAGTGTAACAATACAAATATAGGCATAATCCATAATATAGTAGGCTATATTTATCAAAGTATTATGATCTAGATTGATGTATTAGCCTACTGTAGATTGGCTACAACCACACAAACTGCAATATACTGTAGGCCTACAGTGCAACAGTAAGAGGCATAATCGATAATATAGTATTTCTATTATGATCTAGAAAGATGTACACACTTTCATTCACAGGTGGTAACACTGGCCTTCTTCTAGGCAAGGACTAAAGATAGATAGATGTAGGCTATTACTGTAGATGTAACCACACAAACTGCAATATACAGTGCCTTGCGAAAGTATTCGGCCCCCTTGAACTTTTCAACCTTTTGCCACATTTCAGGATTCAAACATAAAGATATAAAACTGTAATTTTTTGTGAAGAATCAACAACAAGTGGGACACAATTATGAAGTGGAACAAAATTTATTGGATATTTCAAACCTTTTTAACAAATAAAAAACTGAAAAATTGGGAGTGCAAAATTATTTAGCCCCCTTAAGTTAATACTTTGTAGCGCCACCTTTTGCTGCGACAATTAAATTATCTAAGGTCACTATACTTTGGAACCATAGACTGTATAAAAACTTGAAACTGACCCTTTTTAATGTGTACAGTCACAATTTGTGTGACAAGGAATAAAAAGGGTCCTTCCAGCCTGGCAGCGACCAGTCGTCCGTGTGTCAGCGACCACAATCTTTAGAGCCCCTAGTAGTATCAACCAGTGGTCTATGTGGCAGCGACCAATGGTCGGTGTGGCAGCCAATATTATATAGCTGCAGTACCGAAGGCTGTACCGCAGTTCTACGACTGTAGTTCTTTTGCAACAGCGCCATCTAGTGGAGTGGTGGTGGTAATGCACAGCTACACATAGGAGATTAACCCTGTCTGCTAGCACGTTGGCTGTGAGGACAATGTGCGCAGCTGTAGGGTTAACCGGTTGACATGCATATAATCAATAACTTAGGTTTAGGCACACACTTGGTGATAGTTGTGGTAAGGGTAATTTGCTTCGGGGGGCTGTCAAGAGTAACATGGCACCTAGCCATGCACAGCCACATGGGTCCTAGACGTGCAGTTCCGGTCCTCTTGGATTGCGGTCCTGAAACTGCAGCCTCAGGTAAAGCCTGAGTTCTTTGTTTCTGTTTCTGTGCACACACACAGGAAGTGTGTCAAAAGGACCATTACATATCGAAACATCAAACAAGCGTGTATACCTAAACTATCCGGTACCCTTGCAAGCCATCTTAACAGTTATACCCCAAACTGCACAGTTGATGACTTGGTTAATCACTACAACCTGGCTCTGTCAAGTAGTCTGGACTCTCATTCTCTTGTCCTGCTGCCTGGTTCACTGCTGAACTCATGAAGGCCACAGGGCGGAGGCTGGAGAGGTACTATAAAAAATCTAACTATTACTCTACACTCATTGGCAACCAACACATCAACCTAAACAGCTTTTTTCCACTATCAACCGCCTCTGCCCACCATCCACCAGCAACTGCAGCTTTCCAGCTCCTCCCACCCAACAACACTACCGCTGCTGGATGCAAACTCTTCACATGTCTTCACACCGAAGGACTGCCTCTCCTCTTTCTCCCCGCTCAAAACAGCTCAAGTTCTTGAGCTAGTGTCAAAAGCAAAGGCCTTGACCAGCACACAGGATCGAATGCCGACTTCCAACGCTGGGTCCCACATTGGTCAACATCATCAACACCTTGCTGTCTTCTGGGGTGGTCCCCACCAGCTTTAAAACTGCTAGCTTATTTAGAAAGATTATTTTTTTCTTATTTATTTTATACATCTACCACAGCTGCCTGAACCTTTCTTTTTTACCACCACCACCACCATACACATACACACACACATTGTTCTTACCGTCCTCTCCTCCATGCTGTGCCCTTTCCTCTGAATGGCCTCCTGGCTGTCAGGCGGTGGGGAGACGCTTTGGCCCTGAGGGTCCACCCAGCTGTACATGTGGTTGGTGATGTAGCCTCCAGGGATCCGACCCATAGAACACACTGACATGGCCAGCATCTTGCATCCCTTCAGCACCTGCATCAGGAGAGGAGGGTGAGGATGTGGAAGTGCTACAAATGGCAGACCTCATGAACCCACACAGCACTGTGGCCTGAGCATTATCATCACATAACCCCCAAACCCCAACAGAACCAATAAAAATATTATTTTATGGCTATTTTGAGAAATGTAGCTTTGTACACAAGGATGCATGCACAACACTGTTTACAGAGCTGTATGCACTGGCACTGCTTCAGGATGTTACTTTGCGTAACTCACCAGCACTAACACAAAGCGATTTCTTCATACACACCGGTGAACAAGGGTTGCAATTGGCTGTTTCCTGCGGGGTTACAGGACTGCTACTGGAGCATGGCCGTCACTAACAGCATAAATAGAATGCACGCATTCTGCTTGCTGGCTAAATGATAACATTCTATATTCTATTTGTTACAGAATTGGAACATGCTAGACTCTAGGCACTGTGAAGATAGAGAAATGGCAGAGAAACAGCCAAAGAGGAAAAGGTCTGAAGAGTATGAACAGAGAAGAAAGTTATATGACCAGGCAAGGGCGAGGGTGTTTCAACGCTGGAGAAATTTCCAAGATTTTAAATTTGGCAGGGCTTCTGAGGGAGCACTGAAGGAAGGGTTGTGTTTCAAGTTCAAATATCAGCAATGTCTGTCCTCCCAGCCAGTCTGCACCTTTGTCTGGAGCCAGCTCCCACAACCTCTCCCTCCAAGCCCCGACCCCCCTCTGCTCATTCATTCCCTATTAGTTTGTTGTCCAATAAACCTCTTAAATTCACCATCGGCTCCAGTCTGCTCTTGGGTACTGTTTCAAAGCCTGACAGTTCCTGAGCCACCATTTTGAACCAGTGGTCCGCAAACCATCCACGTGGTCGTGTCCACTCCCGTCTCTCACCTTCGTTGATCCCAATACATTAGTATAAAGAAAGTTTAGGTTCTTTTTCTCTTCCATTTTTTAAATCTGTCTATACAACAGAGACACATCATACACTTTTCTCAAACACCGGCAGCTGCTGTGCCATTCATCATAAACTTTGGCTTTGAAACTTCATACAACAAGGCCCAAACAAAGAAGCGCTGAACGCAAAATGGTTAGTAAACATGTTTAGCTCCGCATTGGCTGTCTACCGTTTGCAACAACCTACGGGAGGTTTACTCCGACTGTTGTTTGTTATGAAAAGATGAATGAGCATTTGTTTGCTTGTCAAAGTTGTCGTAGTCGATAAATGTAACCATTTACATCCCGTTGCCTGCCATCACTTTAATTATTAAATTTGGCTGCAAACAGGTTTATTGTTGATCATGTAACGTTAAAGTTTTATTTAGTTAACGTTACACTGGTTTGAGAGTCTGGGGATGTGTTGACTTACAGTAGTTTATAAGCTGTCATTAATTGCATTTCACATTACATGGTTGTGAAAAACAGGTGACAGAGAATCCCTTATAGCTATGCAGTGTTAGAAGCAGCCTGATTTGAATGTGGCAGGTGATAAAACATTCATTATAACCACGAAAGACTTAAGACTTGGACTCTAGCTCAAAGACTTGTGAGCATCTCTGCTGGATGGTCTCTGTAGACATTAGGGCCACCCTGTTTTTAGATTTTCTTTCTTATTCTGTGCAACTGTCTGCCATTGAGGTTTAATTTTCCCAGAAAGAAGAAGAAAATAATTTTGGATAACTTACAGAGGTAGAGCAGGTCGCCTACTAATCAGATGATCGGTGGTCCAATCCCCCTGCTTCTCCAGTCTGTTGAGCATACAAGATTCTGAACTCCAAATTGCTCCTGCAGGCTGTGCCATCAGTGTGTGAGCGTGTGTGAATGACAAATGATAGTTTTTTTCTAATGAGCAGTTGGCACCTTGCATGGCATCCACTGTCATCAGTGTGGGAAAAGGGTGAATGTGACTTGTAAATCACTTGGAAGGAGCTACATTTACATAGGCCCCATCCACACTACTGCGTTTTTGAATTAAAACGGAGACCTTTTGCTACGTCTGCACCTCCCGTCCAGACTAAAACGGCAAAAACATTGACCTAAAACGGAGAAGTTTGGAAACACTGCCGACCCCGTTTTGCGTTTCGAAACTCCGGAGGGGTTTTAGTGAAGACAGGCAAAAATGGACAACTTTAGAAACGATGACGCGGACGCTCACGCTCGGCTCTCTGATTGGGTCTTATAAGTCATGCAAAGCAGACACACGGTGCTACTGTCAGAGTTTTTGAGTTGGTATTTTTATTAAAATATTCTGTACCGTGCAAATAATACTTCAGTCGATCTGCCTACACCTGTACTGTGCATGTCGCCGTTTACTTTGCAACTCTGTCTGTTTTCCGCCGCCACTGTCCCGTGTTACATTGAGTCACAGTCCCAGCTCGTTATTGGTCCATGCAAAAAGAAATCTGGTCTGATTCTTCGTCTGTATTTCTTTATTCTTTCGCCAGATCTCCTGTAACTACTGAATAGACCATCTGCTTCATGTTTACACCGGCACGCGCATGCCCAGTGTACCCGAACGGGCACCGGATGCCCGTTTTCAGTCGTTTTAATGTAGACGGGGATCACCTCTGATACACAGCTAAAACGCTGGTGTGGACAGAGATTGTATTCGTTTTAATTGTCCGTTTGTAAACTAAAACTGAGTAGTGTGGATGGGGCCATAGTCCTAGGGGACATTCCTCATGACACCTCCCTCACTTCCACAGCAGAGTTCTAATCGTGAGTCAAAAGGCTTTTAAAGAAAACATAAAAGAGGGGTGCAGCTAGCTCAGGTGGTGGAGCATGTGCCCCATGTACAAGGCTGAGTCCTTACTGCAGATTCCTGGGTTCAAATCCGGCCCACGGAGGAACCCGCTGAACGATACACAAAGTTTTCATTTTTTAAATATTATCTGGCAGCAATATTTAAAAGTCATACCAACATGCTGTTACTTCAGCGAGACTGCAGTAGGATGCCAAAGAACTAGCAGACTTGGGACCAGCTGACTACCTACTGTACCTCTTAACAGATCATGAATTCATAAAATAATAATAAATAAATGAAAGGAGCACAATAAATGTATCCACAAGTAAAACAGTAAAACTAATGATTTTTCATGCATTATGATGCATTAAAACTACTCTGACAAGTACAATGTACGTAACTTGAATACATGTAACGGAGTAAATGTAACTTGTTACTACACACCTCTGCGTACACGTGCAAACTAAACAGCAGCTTGTCCAGATGTGACAAATGTGAGATGTGGTTGTAAGCTAGTAAAAGGATTGAGACAGACAGAAGAAACTTAATGCTGTCAGGAATTACATTTGCTATCAACATAAAGAGTAAATGGTTAAAAGGAACTTGTATGCAAAAATGTTCACTGTCAATTTATATAATTTGTTTCCCTACAAAATGTTGTTCATGGCAACTAAACTGCGGTCATGTTAAGGTAACTTAAAGTAAATACTTGATGTTAGGGAAAGATGGCGGTCTTAAAAAGTCTGTCTGACTTCAAGCGCAAGGCAAGATGCATTGACTTTTTAAATATTCCAAATAGTATGTTTCATGATCTTTCCATAACCTTAAAGTTGCACTAATCAGTATTTTTATTTGTGTGTAATGTGAAATGTGTTGCTTGTAGTGAGAAACCCACCAAGAATTATTACCTGACTCTGAGGTTTTTGTTATCTCTTATGCAGTGTTTAGCATCTTGCAGCCTGCAACTTTACTGCATTCCAGCAGTTGCTAGCTCAGTGAAAAAGCTCTGATCATCCCACTGTACACAACATGGACCTCAGTCCTTCCACCCACTTTTACCTCCTCTCTGTGACTTCTATGCAGTATAATAAAGTTACACTTCTCTGTAAAAGATGTTGGCAGCAAACTTCATCTCAACAGCATTACCTTTCCTCCTAAAGTTATTTAGCAAAGCAAATTAGATGTTTGTAAATCTATTTTATAGAAGCCAGAGTCATGTTACATTCACTTTGCTGATTATTTTTTTGCTAACTTTCTTCTTTCTCTGTCATTATCATTACTTCTCATTCAGTCCTCATGTCAGCTTGCCCTTCACATAAAGAGGTCTCAGGTTTAACCCCAATCTTGACCCTGCCCTGCTGAAGTGTCCTTGAGTAAAACAGTCACTGTCAGTCTGCTGGATGTCCGGCAGAAACAGTGGTGACTGTTTGTGTAGCTATGTATTTGTTTGCTAACACACAAAAACTTTGTAAGGTGATAATATGTCAAATGTGGTGTTTACAGCTCTTTCTGCTGACCCCAAATAACTATGTACTGCTGCTTTAAATAAGACAGTCTAAATCTTAGCTAAACTATACTAGTTAGCTACTCTGCTCATGTATTAAGATTATGAATATTGTCATGAATGGCTATACTGTAATTTTAAATTACTGCTTTAAGTTTAAGTTCAGTTCTTGTTACCTAGTTGGAAATGCAAATAAATAAATAAATAATATTATAAATATTATAATATATAAGTAAATAGCAAATAATTGACTCACTATGTTCAAAACATTTAATCAAAATATTAAAGTTGCAAGCAGAGTTGTTTGTATTTGGTTTGACAACTCCTCTTTAAATAACAGTTAGACTAAAAAAGATAGACCTGCAGGCTCGCTGCAAATGACACTCGACTCTAATATAAAATAATAAAACAAAGACGGTTAGCTCCATGGTATAATACTGAAACTTGCAAATTAAAGCAAATATTGTGGAAAATTGAGAGGAATTGGCGTTCCACCAAACTGGAAAATTCTCATTTAATTTGGCAAGATAGTCTTAAAACTTACCTTAGAACCTTAGAAACAGCCGTAAAACCAGATATATGTTTAGACCAACTAACTTCAGTAATTTTTTCATCTAAACCATCAGCCTGCCTCTTAGACCCCATCCCGACTAGGCTGCTTAAAGACGTTTTACCCTTAGTCAGCACTTCTATGCTAGATATGATCAATCTATCTCTATCAACAGGCTATGTACCACAGTACTTTAAAGTAGCTGTAAT